AAAATACACTTGGAAGGTTTTCATTGGAAGAAAAAAAAAAAAAAGGCTAATTGGGTGCTGCCACGTCAGCAACATCCTGTCCAAATTCTGTAAAAAAACATGTACCTACAAGTTTATTGTAGCTGCACCTATAGGAGCCGTTGTGTTAGGTGCTCAAGTATGGGTGTTTCTGTCGATTGAACAAAAATGGATTATAGTTATATGCAATATCTGCGTATATATCTCGACGTATTCTAAAGCGCTCACGATATTGTTATAAATGTATAAATGAAAATTAAGAATGCCGAAAAAGATACATGTCCAATTGAAATGTGATGTGATTGTATCCTGATGTTTAAAGATAATTTACATCTATCCACCACTCCAATGTATCGGGTGCAAATTTTGGAACTCTCACACTTTTGCCTCCATATATATTTTTTTCCTTTTATAAACGTGCCCTCAACTTTTCATTAAAATCATTAATTCATATCGACCAATATTTGAAAAGAAAAATGTAATTTTCATAATTAATGAACGAAATTGATACGTTTCTTGGTCGACGCGGGGTTCAAATTAATAAGTGATATTTTTATTTAGAATTTTATGCTTAATTTGTCATCCGAACTTAAAAGTCATAATTCTTTTCTTCAAATGATTTGGATTAAATCTCAGTGTTGCTCACGGTTGACGATAACATCTAAACAAAATAAATTACTCTTTACTTTTTTACAATTTAAACTTGAATATATACTAATAAATCAGTTCATTCTTTAACAATTTAATCTTTTCGACTCAACATAATATCGAAGTAAATTTTAATATTGCGAGTTTAATCTTTTCCTCTCTCAATTCTAAAAAATTTCACGTGTCTTCAGTTTTAGCCACAGTTTGTGAGATTAAAATTAATTTTTTAGTAAATTTTGATAAAAATTAATAAAATGCGTAGTTACAAAATTAACTATTGACTTTAACATGAATTTTAATCCCTACCAAATAAAACACAATTTCATAACAGAAAGTGAGTCAAACTATTTCTCCTCTATCTGGTTTTCATTTCATTGTGCTAAAATTCTACTTTTTCAAAAAATGAGAAAAAGATAATGAAGTAGTTCGTGTTAGTCCTACAAAATATGTAATTAAAATTAAAGTTCATCTTCGAAAAATAAAATTTAGTAGAAAAAATTGAAGAAATTATTTCGGTCTTTGTATCTCTAACCCAATTGTGTACAACGCAAACTTGTAACAATTCGTGCATTACATGTTGCATAATGGTGGGTATTAGAAAGTAGACAGAACCTGCGTGCAGAAACATCCCGGCTAGCAGGGCTTTAGCGTACCGGGTCAATATTGATTGGAATTATCCGTTCGGCCTATGCCACGCCCTGGTCGGTAGACATTTTCCGGCACAGGCCACACATAGTTGACACTGTACTTGATCAAATATATGAGTGATGCTACGTATACACAATGGCGTACACACGACTTTACACCTCCTCACATGAAGGGGGGCCCACACACAAAAAAAATTTCATGGACCCCCCTCCATGTTAGAGAGGTGTACACAGCATTTTTCTACATTTTGGATGTCACACTCCAGATCCTAGTTGGAAGTTAAACAATAAAGAACAGTTCTTTTATTTTTATTTTTTTATTATAAATGCAACCAAAAGTCCAAAACCAAGCACTATCAAATACAGATATTCAAGAAATTCAATTAAATAGTGTAAAGAATATCTCGTTTCATTTCTTTATATAATTCAATAATCTGATAATTTCTTAATTTAAATGTGATTTCCAACAATTCACATTACAGCAAACAGTTTCTATACACGGCAAGGTAAAACCGAGAGAGAGAGAGAGAGAGAGAGATAAGATTGTGGTAATGCCCTCACCTATCAAGTTACAGAGTTGTGCTGCTTAGTCTTCTCATCCTCGTAACCTGACGCCCTTCCACTTCTCCCAATCAAAAATGCCTCTGGTAAGCGGTTGTCGCCATTAATTTCAAGACCGTGATAGGATCGGGTAGCAAAATATTCAGCCCCAGACTTTGCATCGGCCTTCTTCATAGAGAGGGAGTCATTATCACGTACTAGTAGAGCCTTTTCTGTAACATCGACTAACGCAAGAATCTCATCCTTCTCTATGGTGTCATCATCTGGTTGGAAAACATTGGACATTATGAAACACGATGCAAGAAAAAAAATAAAGTTAACAATCCAATTGAAAATAATCACGTACTTATGTCCCTTGAAGAAAGTAAACAAGAAATTGCATAAGCCAAAAGAAAACGAAATAAAGTACCTTCTGGGTCTAGATTTTCCACATACCCACCCTTGAGGAAAGAGAAACGTGCTTCTTCTGACTTTTTCCTTACTTCAAATGAACGAGAAGCAATCAAATCTGAAAATTCAATCACGTATTCTCCCGTCCATTGACTGCCCCTGACAATACAATCCAGAATTATGAGGACCTGATATTGTTGTCTCAAATGCGAACATGGAAGCACCAGATTCCGTTGGATGGGAAAAAAAAAAGAAAAAAGAAAGAAAGAAAGAAGCCTTACTTTGCATCGTTAGTTCAGCCCATAACCTTTCTATTTGATTAGTTAAGCGTCTATGACAAAATTATCTGATTTAAGATAGGTTTTTCTAATTTTTGCAGACCTTAATTATTTCATGTAAATTCCTAAAGCAATCTTGCATGAGTAGAAACTTCTTTTGCTGAAATAATATTTTAAAATCAGAGTCAGAGATCATTTTCCAACTCTCAGTCAATTTAAATGTTTCTTATAACAAAAGTTAATATGAGAATTTAGTAAACTGGCATGCTATTTCCAACTCCTTACATACTGGAAGTTAGGGAAAGGTAAACTAGAGTTCAAATATCTGAAAGTCAAGGCATGCAATTGGAAAAATCCCACAGAAAATCAAGCACGCACAAAGCTCATGTTAACTTGCTTAACTTTATCTATTACAAAAGTAAAAGGAGAGAATTAATATTCATAATATTAATATGATAATCAAAGGAGAAGATCACCCTAGTTTTTTTGGTGTGACAAAAATTTTATTGGATGATGGATCCTTCGTAAGCTCTCCACTATATATTGTTTTCTCGATATAAAGAAAGACGGTAAAACCTAAGAATCTTCATTTTTCAATCACAAAGTAAGAATTTTCAATTTACAATACAGAGTAAATATTCATTTCATAAATTTAATAGTTGGTGGAGTTAGAGGGGTTTGTATAAATACAAACTCGCACAATTCTATAAAATTGTAATCTTATGGAATAATTACTCATCAACCAGCTATTCCATACCCTTTTCTGTTCATGATTTCATGGGTTTTTATGAGGTCCCTCAAAAATTATGTTGAAATTTTTATCTCTTTTTCCATGGAGAGCTGGCTTATTTTTCTGTTTTCATTATCTGTAACACTTGTATCCCCGCTTCTCAATGATGCCCTGCTTCTTCCTCATTTACCCCTTAAATAACCCTAATGATCCTCAAATCTCTCCAACTTCTCCTCGGTGATCCCTCAATAACAGCAATATGATGTTATACTCAACCATCTAACCTTTCAAATTTTCTTCCCATTGGCAGCTAAAAAATGCTCCATACCTAGCTTGGTTATAACACATAACAAAAGGGATGGACTACAAAGAACAAGTAAATCTGAACAACAAGATTACTAATAGAAATATTTGATGCGCAAAATAGGTTGTCAAATAACCACATGGATCAAGTTAACAACCTAAATAGTGTGAAAAACAGATAGGTGCAGTCAAAAAAATTACCTGCATAAGGCAACCATAGCTTCAAAAGGTGTAATAATGGGAGCTAAGAACTCCTTGCTATCCAATAGAGCTGTTTGTGCACAGGAGACAAAAACGAAAACATCACACTGCCATGATACATAAAAAGAGTTCAGTTTTGTAGCCACAAGCAAGAAAAAAAGGAATCTGCAAGCATTTAATGAGGTTCACCTCGGGAAAATTAGCAAGTTTAGCTGGGTTTGGTCTTCCCATAACAAAAGTATAAGCTTTTTTCCCAGCTTGTGTTATCATTTCCTTCATGCGATGAATCATATTAAGGTAACCGGCTGCAATAACAGTTCGCAACAGAAAAAGACTTCAGCCTCTGGCAGAAGCATGCACTAGAAGAGTCGTGAAACATGATGAAAACTCAAAGGTTATATTCAATCTTGTCGAGTTGTCACAAACAACACATAAATCCATACAAGAAAATATTGATTTTCTAGATTGTACCGCTGTTTGAATATTGTAAAGGTGTGACATTTCCAAATCAAAATATTATGTGACGTGGACATTCTCATATATAATCTTTGGAAAAGGAACAATAAATCTAAGTTCCTTACCATGCTCCTCTCTTTTATCAGATTATTAATGTTTTATTCTTACCAGTCAATTTTATCAAGAGTTACATTGTAATGTGGATTATATTTGAAGGCAGATGTATAAACCATATATTGTAACCTAATTACATGACCAAAATGGGATGGGACACCTCGATTACTATCTTCATTGCATATTTTCAGGAATATGTAACCAATACATGGACACTTCATCTATTTTCTATTAGAAATTAAAATTCACCAATCTTATATAAATAGTATCCACGGCACCAAAAACATATATTTCTTCAACTACCTAATGACAAGGTACTTTGGAAAAGATCATAAGAAATAAAGAATATTCAGGGAACCTCACATCAAGGATCCTACATCATTTCTTAGTTCTTACAATGGCACTCTGTCTCACTTATGCAATATTCTACATGGGGTACTTCGCCATAACCTCTTGGGCATATTCTTGAAAAATAGTTCTCATCTGATGCAAAGCATATTGTATGACAAACTGAGCAATTCACAAATGGTTAATACGATTTTCACTCCAAAGATTATAGATCGGCTCTGTAGCATAGACACTTCAGCTATAGTAGCGTGTTCGTGTCCGACACGTGTCAAATATCGACACTCTTCGGACATTCTACCTAATCATTTTTATTTCTTTATAAAAAATATTATATCTTTTAACTCAAAGTTAATATTAAATAACAAATAAATACTCATATTTAAAATATTTCAACAAGAAAAATAATAACTAGTATAAAACTAAATTTATACTATATAAATGAATTTTTTAAAATAATTTAATTAACGAGTCGACTTCGTGTAGTACTTTTTTGAAAACGTATCTTGTCGGACACACGTGTTCATGTCAATGCATCATAGACCAGTAATGCAACCGATCCATAATAGCACTCATGCACTCTTGGGCATGGCATCAAAAGGAAGATAGTATGCATCGAATTGAGGAAGAAATATGAAATATCTTTGGCATTACATTGGCAGAAAGATAAATTCTTTCCTCATTCGGCAGGACCGGACGTCACATAACTGAAGCAAAGTTTTTCAACTTGTGCACCGATAAAGTAAGCAGCCTTTTATGAAGAAAAAGAAAAAATCAAACTGAAGCATACCAACTCCAAGGGTTCCCACCAAGATTCCAATTATGTTAGCATCCTTTGCTTTCTCAACTAAATAATATCTGCAGGAGTTTATTGTATGAATATATTATAAATAAACTGCAAATGCATAACTTGTTTAGCTAAAGATTAAATAATACATTCGCACATGTTTACGACTGGTACCTGCGGTTAAGAATTTTTTTCTGCTGAGATACATCAGTAACCAAGCAATCTTCAGTTGCATCATACCTGACTAAAATCAATGTCAAGACATCAACAAAGTGATAAGCTATGTAACATGACAAAATGAGGGGATAAAGAGATAAAAGAAGCAGAGTCTAATAAATTGACACTGAAGATAAATCTTAAGGTAATGCCACCAGGAGAAGAGATTGTTCACCATCTTGTCCATTCCCAGGCTGGTATTACCCAAACTGTCAATTTTATTGGGAAGGTAGAAGGAATCCACTGTTTATATTATTTTTCTGCTTTAATGATAAACTCTGCAGCACAATCCCCCGGAAAATCCATGCTCTTACCTATTTCACAACTATTGAATTGTAGTACAACATTTGAAAAAGCTTGATTGTCCCAACCAATCCAAAAAATCAAATAATCATCCATTTTGTGTCCTTCAGGTAAACTCCAAGTCAAGCCTCCTATGCCATAAGCCATACTGGTTCCATTGACAAGACCATTAGAAGCTTCGCTATCAACTAATTTAAGTCTATTTTCAGATTTAGAGGTTTCTGGAGGCCATACAATGGAACACCTAACATCTGCATAAAGGGGTTCTAATCCAGATGTGGATCCAAAGAACCTTGGCACGTCGGAGATTAGTTCTTCTTTGATTTCTTGTATTGCATGTGCATATTCCAATCCATAAAGAACCTGAATTTTTAAAGAGAAGATACTGGTGACCGTTGATTGATAAGTACCGCCAGTAAAAAAGTCTGATGAATTCTGGACTAAGGAAAGATTAAATAAATTAAAACTCCATGATGATATATTTTCAATCAATGACATTCTATATGCATCCATGAGCATGTACAAACATGTTTCTATGGTATATATTTCAGCGCTTATATTACATGTAAAAACAGAGAAGTGATGGAAATATCTACAACTGTAATTATTTTTTAACCCCTTTTACCATGTAATCTTGTCGTTGAATAACAAAACTGAGTCAACTAACGAAATTTTAAACTCTAAATATTAAACCCTCTCTTCGTACCATTTATGAACAAGAAGAGCGCTTAAGTAAAGAGGTCTCTTCTCTCAATTCATTAACCTTTTGATTCACAGGCTGGAAATATTGTAACAGCATCACAGCTTTATTGTAATCTTTAACACTACGAAGACATGAAACTTCATAAAACTAGCTTGATAATTATATATAATTGAAATATTATCGAACATAACCCAACAATTATTTGAAAGCTCATTGAATTTTCATCAGACACAAGGATTTACAACTATCACATACTTCGATCCATTTTCCACATTATCTGCTGTTTCTCCCCATAAAAATGGTAATCACAGATTGGAATCAAATTGGCTATTCAAATAAGACGGAACATCATAACTAATTCCTAGTAATTTAGTTCATGGGAAACAGACAGGCTGAAAAGAGCTTAAATGTGATGCAGAAAAAACAACAAATACTTCAATACCTAAAATAAATTAATCCTAACAGCTATTTGGTAGATTCAAGATTGAAGGAACACAATTATTTTTTGAGACGCAAGTTTCCACAACTGACAGTTATCGCACAAGGACAAAAGTTGTTATTTGTCAAAAAATATAGCATAAAGAAATTCGAGAAAACAAACAAAGTTCGTTATGAAACAATCTGAAAAAAAAATGCATCAATTTGTCATGCTACTTTTGATTATTGGAAAGCAGACTTGAAGCATAAATTATCATATTTCATTAGCAGTTGAACCAATACAATTAACTTGTAGTTAAATAAGAGTGTTTATCATACCAAAATAGGCTTGCCAATTCTCTGACCACAATTGCGCAAGTCAGTCACGCAATTTGACACACTGATAGCAGCTTTCCCGAAAATGAATAATGCAGGAAGAGTTGATGTCCTGAAACCAAGAATATAAAATGAAAAAAAAAAAAAAAGAACTGACATATATTTATAATCTAGAACCTTGTATGGATTTTATGGAAGTAGCATCCACTGCAATTAGTAAACAAGTAGCTAACATTCAAAAGCAATATAAACAGATATTGGTAGAACAGGAATCCTGTTTTTGTGTAAACAGAGCTCTTCTTTTAGCGTTTTCCAAGAACCTCTCTCTCTAATTTGGTCCCCTCCCCCAAACAACAAAAGAAAGAAAGGGTAAATCTCTCTCGATCCGCAGGTCTATTCATTTTTCTTTTATTATTTCGATTTCAACATTTAACCGACAATCCTTAGTAGTATTTCTCTTAAAAGAGCATAAAATATTACATAAATAACCTTAAATTTCATTTTCACTATCCGCAAGTTTTTTCATTTTTCTTTTATTATTTGGATTTCGACATTTAACCCAGTATTTATAGTTGTATCTCTCTTAAAAGAGCATAAAATATTACATAAATAACCTTAAATTTCACTATCCATCTAAATGAGCCTAGGATTCAGTATTAACCTTAATAGAAAATCCTAGAAACTAGATAATCATCATGCATCATACATTAAATATCTAGTTCTGATTCTTGTCCTCCATCGAATTACTATGATCATTCCTAATATCTCTGCTATATCTGGCTAGACATAGATGCAATAGGTGTTTTGAGAAGAATTGAGCCAAAGCCGAGCCACGAGTTGAGTGAGTTATAACAGTTTGTGAGCTAAATTTATGTATTTTACACTCACTGGCTGAGACAAGTATGGCCATAGTGAATGACGCAGTCAGCATTGACATGAGATGCTCCCACTTCATCCACACAGCAGCTTCCAAATGTTGTGTCAGCCATCACGTAAAACTTCACATTCTCAACATAAAGCAAATCAAGCTTCTCACGTAGAGATTTCACCACCCGTGTCGTATCCTTCAGTAACTCATCTGGAAACTTATGAAACAAAGAAAGACAACATTTTTTCTCAACAAAATTTGAAAGAAATCGGCAATTATTGGAAACTAGATTGCATGGAAATGAAAATGCAATAAGAGACATGAAAAAAGCTATTTATCAAAATGAGGGAGGCAAGAAGCCATTAAGAGGTAGTATAAAAAAAAATTACAATTTTTTTTTTCCATAGAATCAATTTTAGTTTTAGAAAAGCTATAATCATGGATTAAAAGCCTACAATTAAGTTAAATTTCAATTGAAACCCGCAATTAAGTCAATTTCACAAATTATATTCACTCCTCAACAATGTTTTTTGAATATTTTGATTAAAATTAATGGGAGTATACACCTCTCGATGACGGGAGAACCCAAAGAGATGCTAGTATAATATTGGGTCTCCCCCTCTAGCAAAAAGGCTGTATAAAAGTTTCAATCAGTAATAACACGGTAATTCCCCAGCAAGGGAAAATTCTGCTATCCAAAGAGCTCCAAACTCAAGGCTCCAGTTTCACCTGTTTAGCTAATCAAACAATCTCCAGACACAGACTACAAGACGGCGGCTATCGCTCAGAAACTTTGTTTGAGTTTCGAAAACGTTCCATAGGTTTTGAAAATTAATCCAAATGATACCATTTTTAGAAGTTTCCTTGCAACCTTGATCCGAAGCAACGTCACAGTAGAAGGGACGTACCTGTAGAGCAACTCTAGCGAAGCCATGGCGGTGGATAAATTCCGCGACGCGGGCATTTTCGTAATAGGAATCAAAATCCATGACAGAGGGTTGAGCAGAATTGAAGAAAGTGTCCGCTCCGGAGGCTTTTAATGGCGGCACAGAATGGGCTGGGCCTTAAATTGTTCTGAAGCCCTACTAATATTTGACAGGTAATACAATTTCAAAGAGAATTAATTTGGCTGTGACAATTTTAGAAACTAAGTCAGCAAAGAGGCATGCCTCTTTCCTCTATTTATTTATTTTTTCTTCGAGCTAGGTAGTGAGCGGACGATAATACTTAAAAAGGGAAAGAGATTCAACCGCTAAAGAAAGCTAGCAAATCGACGATTTGAAGTCAATTTGAGTCCCCCCAAAGAGGAGGGCCGATCCCTTTCCACTGTCAATTATTCAATCAGCTTCGAGATCTTGTACAATAAATTATATTTCTTTGGGTATGTACTTTTTGTAGGAACAATATTTTTTTTCTAGTTGTTAGAATTCATTGAAGAGGAACTTTCCATTTTTAACTCGAGAAAAAATCTTGCATAAGAAAATGTCAATTTGAACGCTGAATGGGTGATAGATATGTTGACAAGCATACTGTCTACCTAATTGTTAACGGATCTAATAGTTGTCATATCTTTCATTTCAAACTTAGGTGCGCTTGACCGTCAATATTTTTCATGAAAATTTTGTTTTCACCTAAGTTCTTACTTTTATGCTGTTTGATTGATAATTTTTTTCACAAAAATATTTTTTTTTTACTTTTGGTCACGTAACCATTTTTTTCTTTGAAAACAAGGAAAATATTTTCCCGAGGGAGGTGCAGTTTTTTATTTTTCAGATAATTCGCTCTCTCTTTCTCTCTCATTTATCCCTTCCCTCTCATCTATTCATCAATAAAAAAATGAACGAGTATAATATTTTAGGTTGAAAATTAAATCAATCAAACACATTTAATTGATAATTTCCATACAAAAGGCAATGGTCGTTAAAAAGAAATCAATAATCACCCTAGCTTTTTCAGCAAATCATGTTCACAAGGAGGCAAAGCCTAGTGAAATTTCAAAGTTTAACGCCCATCATACATTGAGGTCATTTCTTGTAAATTTCAGCTTGGACCGCAGATTAAATTTTCACATCAAAATCAAAATAAAATCATGGCTTAATTGAAAGCATTTTTATTTTTTTTCATTTTCTGTGCATTCAAAATTGGTTTTGTTTACATGTAAAAAACAAGCCAATAAACGAATTGCGTTTCTACGTTAAAAATACAATATTCCATTGAATCCATGCATCCAGCTCCTGTTGCCTCAAATTGCTCACGAGAGTGAAACGATACTTCTACTTTGAAAGAAATGATATTCCGTCGGTTGGGGCACTTGGGTTTCTGCCAGGATCAAGATATACACATAACAAAGCTGGGTTATTAAACAAAAAACATTGAAGATTTTAACTTCATTCTGTTGTATAGTACCATCCGATATGCTCACATGAAACAAGTAGCATATAAAGATTTGCAGCAATAACTCCCAAAGTTTTTCTAAGGTCAAAATTTCATATTGTCCAAATATTAAAAGGTACACTCAAATAGAGGTGCAAACAATGGAATCCAAGAGGAAGCTGTTGGAACAAGAAAACAAATTGTCAAAAGGATTGATAGTAACTAAATTGACAAAGCCTTTCTCTTGGAATCTTGAAAAGATAAAATCCACTAGATTATAATTAATAACTCAAACTTTGAAGCCTCGGCTGTTTCTCCTTCCTCTCGCTCGCTCAAATTTTCTTCCCTTGGCACGCACATAAGGCTTGGTGTGACTGTGTGGGACACCAGGAGCTGGACCAAAGTGCTTCACAGCTTCACGAGATTTTGTTGGACCTCTAAGGAGTACCTGCAGCTCACCAACTGGTTTTAGCATATTCATCCATTTATTGTCTAGATGGTTCAATTATTTAGGGCACTATTTGTGGGATCATATCACAAAATTAATACTAATTATGCCAGAAAATCAAAATCCTCATGGAATACAATGATCAGCAAATATTCTAATGGGAAAATGCCTATTTTTTCGCAAGTTAACTACACTAGTGTACTATGTGGGAAGAATTCAGCCACCTATTAAAAAGGATTTCTAACCAGATTTGTAATAATTCATTTCCCTTGTGATTTCTCCAGTTTGAATTAAACATAAAAAAGGCTTTCCTAGCCTTTTAATATTTTATGATTGAAATTTAGCAACCAAATGTGATATGTTACCATTATTTTAAAGAATAATCTCCACTATTTCGTAATAGCATGTAAAGCAAAAACTTAATATGGATTCTTCAGGTTGCATTTGATGCTGGAACAAAATTTTTCCATCCGCGCTTTTCGGGAGGTTTCATAAAAGAAGATCCAACATAACGTGCGGCTAAGAATAGGAGGCGGTGTACTAGTTCGCTATCTCAATATTGGAAGAATCCCATTATATTTTCATCCAAACAGAGATTTTGGCTAGTGAAGTGCAGAAGGACCTCGTTTTATTTTTACCTCCTACCCGCAACCATGCACTTAAGAATTCAATATCAGTAATAGCACTATGAGAATGAGAAGAGAATGGACTATGAACGTCCATACCGTGTTCTGGCCAAGAGGAGCTTTAAGAGCAAGCTGGTCAAAAGTCAAACATTCTCCTCCTGCCTTCTCAATCCTAGCCCGTGCTGTCTCTGTGAACCTCAGAGCAGTGACCTTTATCGCAGGGACTTCATACGCCCGAATGTCATCAGTAACAGTTCCAACAAGTACTGCTATTTTGTCCTCCTAGTAAACAGCCAGTGATAATGTGTTACAAAGCTTGTTAACGGGATATTGTAAGACGCTCTCATAGTGCAACTATGCCTTATCAGTATGGAAAATGAAACAAAAAAGAGCAGTAAACATTCTAATGACAAATTAAGGTTTATGAAATAATTTAGAAACAGTACATGCGTGTAAAACATAACCCATACAGGATTAAAATTTAAAACTCTCCTCCATGTGAGAGTCCTTCCCTTTAAATTTTCAGTTTCCACCATACACTGTTAAGACTAGTTAGCATTGTAAACAAGATTCCTTCTCAATTAATATCCAAACTACAAATACCATTGGAAATTTAGAAATGATAAAGAATTCAATCGAATTAACACAATAAGCTATCAATCTAATCTGTATAATTCACGAAACTAAAATTCTTATGGATTTCTTTGCGTCCAGCAAAATAAATTGTAAAGAAACTACCTTGCCCTTCATGAAAGTGATGAGGCGGGAGAGAGAAAGCGGGGCCTTGTTGACTTTGCTCATAAAGAGCCTCTTCAACACCACTGCATTGAACTTGCTTCCAGTCCTCCTCAACAGAAATCGATACAACTGCCGTCTCACACACAAACATGTTAGATCATATCATATAGACCCTCTACTCATTATGTGATTTCAGCACGGAAAGTTCAGTAGCAAATAAATAAAAAGGATAAAAATCACCTTCACGAGGAGTTTGAGGTAAATATCATCGGACTTCGGGGCCGTGCGCTTGGTCTTCTTGTTCTTACCTCCAGCGACCAAATCAATACCCTAAATCGGAATTAAAATTAAAAAAATGCGAACAAAATGCATAATGAGAAAGAACGGCGAGGACAAAGAAATGTAGAATTTGTAGCTAAGAGTGGAATACCATGGCTGTTGCTGCTGCTGCTGCTGCTCCTGCTGGAACTGGAATCCGTTTAACGAGATAAATGGGATCTAGGGTTTCGCATTGATTTTGTATCGTGTTGTTATAAAAGGGTTGGTTATGGGCTTTGAGTAGGTTGCCAAATTGGAACCCAAAAACAATACTGCCCGTTCAGTATTAATGTTTAAAGGCCCGTGTATATGCCAACTGGGCTGCGTTATAGGCAAGAAGATCTAAGAAAACAATATATTTCTAAAGTATTTACTTTACACAATTTCAAAAATACAAAAACAAGTTTCAAAATTCACAAATCAGATTTTTTAATTTTTAATTTATGAATTAATAAATTATTAAATAAATTTATTATTAAATATTTAATTCTAATATAATATATTTATCAGACCCCACCTCTACCACCCCTACCGTTTCGGGGACTACTTCGACTATCGTTTCGATCACAACTCATCTCGACGATCGTTCTAACGACTGCTCCAATTCCGGCAGGTGTTCCAACTCCTATGAAAATTTTTAGATCACAAATCAAAATTTTCATAGGTCACAATTTGTTTATCGGTTACAATTTAAAAATTTAAAAAGTCACAATTTGTTTATCGGTCATAGATTACAAAATTTATAAGTCACAATACTTATTTCACAGTCACAAACATCAAAAAAATTATATTTAGGTCACAATTTATCAAATTTTGGGTTACAAATTAATAATTTTAAGGTCACAAAGCATTTATTGGTCACAGTTTATCTAATTAATTGGTCACATATTGTTTACTGGTCACAAACTAANGTCAAACACCACCCACCACCAGCACACATACCTACAATACCCAACTCACAACCTCACCAACATCTCACCATCACCAATCCTCACCATCGCCAGATCCGCCGACATCCACCACCACAACCTGCCTCCAATCACAACCATCACCACTGCCTCGCCATCGCACATCACAACCACCACTACCCAATTACAAACACCACCAGAATTTGTTAGCCACCACAAACCCGAAATCAAAATCTAAGGCCGAGAGAAATTCAGATCCAGATCTGTTAAGAAGAGGAAGAATGAGACGAAGATAGAGAAATTCAAATTCGGTGAAATTCAGATCCAGATCTAGGGAAATAATTGTACGTTTTGGTGAAAATAATTTGATTTGGTGTAGAAAACCTGGAATTTGATTCGGTGGCAATGATTTACGACGTTGCCAAAGAGGAAGGTGGTTGTTGAGGCGTCGACATCAGGTTGTTGTGGTGGAAATTGTGGCGGAGGGTAGTTGTGGTCGTTGTGGTGGTGGGCAAAGCTGGTGTTGGTGGTGGCGTTTTTAGTGCTGTTGGGTGTTGTTTTCTACAAATGGGTTGGAC